GGCAAATGGAAGTGCGGGAACTTGAACTCGGGTCTTTTCACTCAAAGTTCTAGGTTCTTTCCACCACACCACATTGCTAGACTCTCTCTGTCTGTATCTCTCTTCTCCCCAAACTCCAGGACAACCTCCTCACCAAGACCCTGAGTAAAATGTGCCAGAACTGAGACCCCTTGCCACCCAATTCCCCCTGGCCCTGTCCACCAGTTACCTGCTCTCACTGAGGTCTCCTAGGCTGGGAGGGACTTGGAGATCCACTGGGGGCTGCCCTTGGTGGGGATGGAGCTGGGAGAGAGAATGTAGGTTTGATTTGGGGAGTGTGGCAGTCCCTCCAAATCCCACCTAGGGGGAGGGGAATCCTCAGAAGCCCAGTTGTGCGGATAGAAAAGAGAGACCCTCCCGTGGTTGAGACAGGCCAAAGTGCAGGAATCCCCGCAAATATCCATTTGTTGGATGCTCAGTGAGCCTCCCAAGAGAGGCATGCCAGGCTGGGCCCCAGGGCGGCAGAGCCCTCATACCTGTATGCACATAGATCAGACCCAAGCCGGCAGTGAGGGCAGCCCCCAAGACAAAGGCAGAGACAGCGATGGCCACAACTGGGGCAGGGTCCAGGCCCCCACAGCCTGGGGTTTGTGGGTCAGGATGGAGGACCTGGCCCAGCCTCGCTTGTGACTGATCTTGGAAGGAGAGGAGCAGGCAGGCTCAGAGCTAGGGGCTAGAAGTCAGAGATCTTGCCCCTGAAACAGTCTGCACTCTGCCCTTTAACTCGGGCAGATAGTCCCTATTCTTTCCCTTGGGGACCCATCCAAGCCCCTAGCTGTTGCCTTCCTCAGGGATTCAGAAATACAGCCTTCCCTCACCCCAGACCTTTGCCTCTAAACCACCCTTAGGAAAGGGCCAAAGGGTCTCACCAGGGGGAATGCGAGGGGGTCTATGGAGGGGTTGGGGCACAGTGACAATGATGGGCTGGGACAGGGTGTGTATATGGGGACTTTCTCCAATGACCTCTTCCCTGCTTCCACTGCCGGTGCAGGCTTCATCCTGGGAGAGACACTGAGACCCAGAGAGAATAAGAGATCCCCCTTTCACTATCCTCTCCTTCTCACACTTGCCCCTCTGCTACGGACCAACCCAATCAAAGACCCAGACTTCTGATGCCACCCTGAAACCTCATCAAACCAGAAATGAATCACTCCCCCTACCGTCATTCCTTTCAAGAACCAGGGTGCCCCCCAAACCTCACAGACCCTTGGGGGCTGGTCGACATTGCGGGGACCTCTCCGTGAGGCACCCCGACGGCTGCAGAGTCCCAGTTGGCAGTGTAGGAACTGCACAGAGGCGTTGAAGATGGGGCGCAGGCGGAAGCTGAGTCTGGTTTGGGGTAGGGACCCAGGGGGTGGGGGGTGGAAGGAGACAGAGGCTTCTGCTGGACAGCCACCCCTTAGCAGCAGCAGGAGTGGGGAGCCTTCGGTCGGGTCGGAGGAAGGTGACAGGGAGCATTGGTGCAAAAAAAGGCCCCATCGTGAAGAGGGCTGAGCCAAAGATGCCTGAGGGATAGGAGAGGAGACAGGACGGGACACTGGGAGCCAGCCGGCAAGGTGGGCCGAGGCAGCTGGGCTCCCAAGCTCCATTCCTCAAGGTGGGACCCACTATCGCACCTGAGCATCTTACCAAATCAGGGTTCACAGATCTACTGCTGGGATTTTAGAAATATAATACAACTCCCCTCACTAACCCACCGGAAGATCACAGACAAGAGCCAGAAGGGACTTCAGTGATCCAATTCAACCCCCTCATTTTACAAATGGGGAAACTGAGGTTCAGAAGGGCTAAACATTTTAACTTGGCATACCAAGTAAGCAGCAGAGCCCTGGCTCAAATCCCTTCCTTTGAATCTCCAGCACTTTCCAGACTGCTTTTCTAGATAGGCGTTAAACCAGAGCCCAGAGTAGTTACACAACCAGCCACTCAATAACTACGGGAATGGTGGAATATGAACCCAGGGCCTTGGAATCCAAATCCAGCATCAAAAAAACCAAAACAAAACAAAACTCAACAAACTATATCATGAGCCCACCATCCCCTACTCCCATCAGTAGGTCCCCTGGACTCCAGGCCCAAGCCCTCCCCTATCACCTCCACAAACACAGGACTGTTGGCAGGCACTACACATGGCCCTGGGAACCTCCGGAATGTGTCTGAGCTGGAGACAATCAAGTTGAAGGGTGGTCGCCGAGGTCCAGGGCTTGACAGAGCAGGAGACAGGCAAACTGGCCACAGAAAAAGCCTGTATGATGCTGGCTGTAAGGAACCCACCATGTGCTAGCTATCCCTCCTGCACCTCCCCCAACTCCAGGCAAGAAAGTGACCAAACCTTTCAAGCGTGAGTCTTCAACCGTGGCCATTTCTTAACTCCCCACCTCTGGAGAAAACCCCAGCCCAATGTGACCCGAGAACTTTGGAGGGCAAATAAAGTTGAGAGGAACAGATACAAGAGCACAGGGGTAGGCGAGGGCTAGCTTCACCAGGTGGAAGAGCCCAAAACTGGCATTCAGGAAACAGTTTGGGCTTGGTTCTGTGGTCTTGTGCAAATACTTTCCCCTCCCTAGATCTCTTACTGCCCTCTCCAAATGAGGAAGATAATCCCTGCTCATCCTCAGGGCACACCAAGTGAATGGAGGGTTGGGTAGGGTTGTTTTGAGAAGTCTGGGGTAAGAATGTTTGGATACTTAGCAGGCCTTCATCTGCTGCTACCACTTCCCCCCTTTCCAAAACCAACACCCCTACTCACGTTCATGTCGGATTCTACCTCCCCCAGAACTGTCCTGGGAGCAACGGAGAGAGGAAGATTCTCTCAACGGAGAGAGGAGGGAAGGGGAGGCGAAGCTGCCCTCTTCTTAAGAAAAGTGGCTAATGCCAGCTTCCCTCCTTCAGTAATGGTGGGCTCCCCAGCCCTCCCACTTGGTCACACTAAGCCCCTTGGTCACAGAAGACAAGATAAACCTCCCAAGATAGAGAATGAGTGTCCAGTGGTTGGGATCCAGCAGCATGTCCAGGAAGGAATGGGTTAGATAGGAAAGTTTTAAGGGGAAAGTCTAGGAATGTTGAATCAGGAAGTATGAAGTTAAGAGGTCTACAGGGCTTCATAGCCCTTAACTCAGAAGAATGAAGCGCTGAGAAATGGGTCCAATAGGGACAGGTCAAACTAGGAAGAGGGCTGAGACATTCTTACCATACCCCCTGGTACCTACCCATTCCAGCTGGGGGAGGTGTGGGAGCCTGAAGGAAGAAGGGAAGGAAGAAAGCAGCCAATCCCACCATATTGCGTCTAGGGGAGCCCAGGGGTGTCCTTGGAATCTGTGCTGGAGAAGAGGTAAGCTGTTCTCACACCCTTCTGCGATGGGATCCGGACCCACTCAGCACGAGTGCTGACGTGGAATGGGGGCAGTTGGTCCTGTCTGTAGTACACTCAGGACAGAATTGTGAACATATGGCCTTTCCCCTCCTTCTGCTATGATGGGGAAATGTATCCGTTGGCAGGGCTGCAAATCCTGGCAGATGGGGTGGGTGAGGGTGCAGGAAGGGAAACTATCTTGTCAGGGCCATCTCCAAGACTTCAGACTACCGAGGGGGGGGGGGGGGAAGGTACCAAAGTGACACCTGAGCTGAGCATGTTGCTGAAGAGAAGAGCAGCTCAAGGCCCTAGACCCTATATTGGGAGAGATGGGATTAAGAAGTCTCACCTGACCTACCTGCATCAGGAAGGTCAAACAACCCAATCTAGGCCACAAGAATGACTCTCAGCTCTCCCACTAAGGCCCCAGAGCCAGACTCTCAAGGTTAGCCCACCCCACCTCAGGCCCACACCAAGCCAGGCCAACTCCAGAGGCAGGCGGGAAGTGGCTAGTATTCTCACTCACCTCTATTCCTCTTCTTACCACATCCTGAGAGCAAACTATCCCCCCCTCCCCCGCATCCCCAATCCCACCCCCCACCCCCAGCCCTTTTCTCCACTCTGGACACAACTGAGTAAAAGGGATTTTTTTTGGTGGTGGTTTTTTTATTATTATTATTATTTTTTTTATTTTCAAGCTTCTAAGAAGGGTTTACAAACAAGGGCATTTTGTTTTTGAAAAAGGGACAATGGGGCAATACTGCTGGCCCAGGTGCTGCCCAGTAGGCACCCACCCCCCCAACCCCTGTAAGAAGGGAGGGGGCACACACATGCTTCCACCACTGCCTTCAGCCACGAGGTACAAAGCTGAGCTGGGGCCACAAGCTCAGGGGTGGGGAGAGTTAGGCCCCAGGTCCACTCCGCTCTCCCCCCACCCCTACCCCCCACTGGCTCTCCCGGCCTCTCCCTGGGAAATTGGCCAGGGTCCCAGGACGTGTCCTGAGAGGGAAGAGGGGATGGGGTGGCTCAGGCATCTTGCTAACCCAGCCTGGGAATCAGCTCAGGAAGTTCAGCTGGAGGAGAGGAAAGACGCACAGGACTAACATCCAGGACTCTGGGAAGGCTGGCTGGCTAGTGGGGGGGAAGGTGGCACATATCCATTTAACACTGAAATAAGGGCTGGGCCCAGGGAAGAGGAAAAGAGCACGCATGCTCACAAAACAGAAAATAGTTAAATTAAAATAAAACTGGACAGTTACAGAACAGGGCCAAGCTGGCCCTGCCACTGAGCAGACGACCTTCCCCCTCGGTGAAAGTCATTTTACCTGGCTCCGGGGCTTGGGGGGACGGGTACTGGCTGCCCAGATGGAGAGGGGGAAGGAAAGTGTCTGGTTACCCCTGGCACAAGGGGCCCCCAGACAGCCTTCTGGAGGTGGGGGTGGGGAAGGGCTCAATCCCCAAATCCTTTTCTGCTGGCAGCGTGGCCAAGCACAGGGGGAGATGGTGCCCATGTCCCTCTGGGCAGAGAAAGAAGGTAACTCCTCTAGTTTTAACATGCGGCCTTCTGCAAATATACCAATGAGAACAGAGACTAGACAGACGACAGGGAGACAGATGCTAAAGCCTATATTGAGCCAGTGAAGTCCATCGAGCTGCGCTGTCCTTACCTTTGGCCTTGGTTCCTGTGTTTGGGGGGGGGGGGGGGGGGGCGGGGTGTGTGTGTGTGGGAGAGGGGGTGTGTGTGTGTGTGTGTGTGTCTGTGTGTGTGTGTGTGTGTGTGTGGTGTTTGCCATTTGATCTGCATGCATCACCAAGAAAAAAAGAAATACCTCTTCCTCCACCCTCCTTCCCAGCCCACCTGCCTGCCCACCACCTGAAGGCTCTGGAGAGGCCAAGGTGGGGCTGCAGGGGGTGGCCAAGAACCACCTCTATTCACGCATCAATTGTAAATAATAATAATAATAATAATAATAATAACAATAATAATAATAATTAAGAAACAATGCAATAAAACTGCATTTGCCTTTTCTCTGGGGACCTGCCAAGGCAAGTGCCAAGGTGGGCCAGGCAGCCATGGGGACCAATTAATCTCCTGTCTTCTTTGTCTGAGGGGCCTGAAAAACTCAGCCTAGATGCTCTCCAGGGTCCTGCCCTGTCTCCTTTCCTGGTGAGGAGTGGGAAGACAGCCAGCCCCCCTCATGCTAGCCTTGGGAACGGAGGGGCCCCAAAGGTCTGTCCTGTGAGGAGGCAGAAGGCACAGGCACTAGACCTCAGTTTACCCATGAAGCTGGAGAATGGAGGGCCAGCTCAAGGGATGAGTTGAAGGAAGCCCTGGGTGGCTTGCTGGGGCCAGGGACCTGTAACCACTCTCTTCTCCTGCCCTCCACACTTCCTCTTCACCCTCTCCCACTAGGCTTGCCCACCCTTCCTAAATGCCCTGATCCACTCTAAGATTTCTCTTCCGCTCCCTACCTCTGTCCCCATCTCACATCCTCAAACCATCTCTTACCAACCTCTGTCTTGCTTCGTCTTACGCCCCCGGGTGGCCCCGTGGCTTTCCCAGTTCTTCTGCACCCTCAGCCCTCTGCCCCAACCTGCGCTGTCCTTCACTCCGTCTCCTTCCCTCCCTTCAAGCCCCTTCTGGCCTGCCTGCTAGCCCTGTTCACCTTCCTTCTATGTCTCTGCTACACCAATGTCTGCTGCCTTCTGACTGGCGGATGCCAAACCCCTATGGCTGCCTGGACCCTGGTGGCTACAGCTTCTGCAAACCCTGGCCCCAGGAAGAAGGTGAGTTTAGAACTCCCAGAGCAGGCATCTAAGATCTTCAACTCACCCCAGAGCTGGGAACCAGATCCCTCCGTGTTTGGGACAAAACAACCCTTAGGGTCCGGCTCAGGGCTAGATGATTGGGGAGGGGGCCAGGCCCTGGTAAGTTCCTCATGAGCATGCATGAGAGGGAGGAAGCAAGGGGCATGCTCCACCGGGCTACTGAAGGTCACAGTGCACCTCAGGAGATGCCACACCCCTGGTATCAGAACCCACAATCTCTGCCCATATCTACCCTTTCTGCTGACAGTACAGATTTAAACGAGTCCCCACCACCTGCCACTGCTGAACCACTGCCACAAGCAGCCAAACACGACTTTGGTTAAAGTTTCTGAAGGTACCGACACCCCCATGTAAGAATCAACCCACCCCACCCCCACCATATCCCCCCAAATAAAATAAAATAAACTCCATAAAGGACCCCCTGAGATCAACAAGAGAAAAACTGACCCACTGCAGGCCACCTGACCACCCCCAGCTGGCCAGACGTGCTCCTCCCTGCCCCCCCCCACATTCCCAGGGACAAAAACCTTGGGAGTGACACCCACAGAGCAGCAAGCAATCCCTCCCAGGCCACCCTACCCCAGCCCTTGTGGCTTGCAAACTGAATCCTCAAGCCAGAAGAGTGGGCAGGAGAGAGGGCAAAGAGAATAAGGATTCAGGCAGCTCTCTCCTGGGCCTCCAGGAGCCCACCCAAGCCCAGAGGTTACAACTGAATAAATAGAGTCTAATGGTGGACCTGTCTTCCATCTTCTGTTCACAGTGTCAGGGGGAGGGGGGCGTACAGCTCTCCCCCAGGAAAGGAGCTGGAGGCCCAACTGGTGCCAGTTTGTCCTCAGCCGAAAGGCAGGGGGTGAGGGCAGGCGGGTCTGGAGTGCCCCCACTTTGTCTTCAGCTCTCTGTGGCTGTCCATGTTTCCGTACTCCCTCCCCAGCTCCATGTGACATCTGGCCCGCCAGCATGGGGGGAGGCGAGTGGAAGACTGGTACGTCTTGGGGCCAGGGTGGCATCGCCCCTGCTGCAGCTGGAGTGGGGGGAGGAGCAGGCTGACTGGCCATTTGTCTTGCCCCCTTCTCCCCCAGCCCCTGCTGACCCTCCCAGGCTGGTCACCACTTGGCTACCTGAAGAAGGGAAGGTGATGCTGGCTCAAGATGCCGCTAGTCCGGGGGGACTCTGTCTTCGCCATGACATCCTTGAACCAGGATGCCACATCCACTTCCAACATCTCGTATCGTTTGATGAAGCTGTGTTCCTGCGAGGGACAGGAAGTTAGGCTCAGGCCTCTCTCCTCCCTCCTTCCCCAAGGCCATGGAGAAGCTCGGTGCTCCCAGCCCCAGCCCCAGAGAAACAGGCAAAGTGTACTCACAAGTAGCTTATTGTACTTTGGTCTCTTCCTGTGATCTTTAGTAAGGCTAGGGAACAAGAACACAGATACATGAGCATGTGACAAAGGGGCCACTCCCCCTCCTGGAGTAGGGTAGGTGAGAGGGGCGAGAGAGTAGGGGGTGACTTGCTCCTTAAGTCAATCCAGCCCGTCCTGCCTTTCCAAGAACTGACGACCCCAAAAGGCTGCCATCTAACGGGTATACCAAGCCCTCCTCCCTCAAGGGATCTCTAAGGGTTTTAAAGAAAGGACTGTTCATGCTTTCAGGTGGGGGGAACCCAAACTTCCTAGCCTCCAGTCCTGGTCACTAGAGCCTGGCACATCGAAGCATGACTGAGGGTTCTTGGAAGGAGTTCATGCCCCTTTACCCCAAGGATGGGAACTTTGCTAGGGGAAGAAAGAAGGAAACTCATCCTCGGATGGGAGGGAAATGGCCTGTCAGAAGTTAGGGCCCAAAAAGCCAGAGCAGGGCTTAGCAATGTGTTTGGGATCAGAGATGGCTGGGATGCTGAGAACCATCCCACCCTAAACTGGGGGTTCGTCTTGGGGTCCAAGTCGTCCAAAATCAATTTTCCTGTTACAGGAAGGGGAAAGCAAGCCATTGGCTCCAGTGAAAAAGATCTAGGGGTTGAGTGTGTCACAGACTTAGTGTGATTGAGCCAGAGACAGCATGGCTCTGTGCTGCGCTGAGAGAGGTAGGAGGCTCTGAGCTTGCCAGGCTCCGCCCTGGGCAAGAGCCTTGGGTTTTGTCTCTCCTCTCTCTACGTCGTGCCTTACATAGCTCCCACTGTCCTGTCTAAAGAGATGACTCTTCAGATGGCATCTCTGGCCCAAGAACCATACAGGACATCTCCAGTCAAATGTCTCCATGTCACCTTCAATTCAACTTGTCCAAAACTGAACTTAGCATTTCCGTCCTCAAACCACACGCTGGTCTTATCTACCTTGGTACTATCCACGACACCCACATTCTCTCCCTGAAAAAGGTCCAACATCTAGAGCCCTCCCCCTTAATCCATCCCCTCCTCCTCTCTCACTGCCACCGTCCATCACGACAGACCTGGACGACTCCAGCAGGCCCAGAGCCAATCTCCAGCCCCTCTCTATTCCAATGCCCTGAGCATCAGGAGCTGGAAGGTCCCTCAGAGGCCATCTGGTCCAATTAATACTTTACCAAGAACCACTTCTCCATTACTGCTGTCATGGAACCCTGCGGGAAGGAGCCGCTCACCCCACAGAGGGACCTTTTTTGCTGTTGACAAACGTTCCCTTCTGTCAGAAGCTCCTATCCACTGCTCCCTTATGAGCTCATGAGCTCATGAGAACCCTCCAAGTTACTGAGGCCTGTTGTTATGTCCCCTTCTGCCTCTCCCCCACTTCCCTGTCAGAAGTCTCTTCTTTCCAGGCCCAAACAGCCCCTGTTCCTTTGCTGGATTTTCATACAGTGCTTAGCTTTAGTCCTCTCATGATCTTGACCACCCTTCTGGGGTTCTTGAGGGCATATGGTCTCCTTAAAACATGTTGCTCCATACTGACTAGGATGCCCAAGAAGTGGGCTGCCCAGGGCAGAGCCTGGCAAGCTCAGAGCCTCCTGCCTCTCTTAGCGCAGCACAGAGCCACCGTCTCTGGTTCAGTCACACTAAGTCTGTGGTGCACTAAAACCCCTCGATATGTTTCACTGGAGCCAGTGTCTTGCTTTTCCCTTCTTGTAACAGGAAAATTGATTTTGGAAACACAAACCTGAAACGTCCCATTCATCCCTATTAGAGTTCACATTATTTAGCTGAAGCCATTGCTCTGGCCTAGCTAGAGCTTTCTAAACCTTAATTCTGTCACTCATCCTTCCCAGCTTCACCTTGTTTCCAAAACGTGCTGAACATGCGAGAAAGCATCACTATCTCTCATCCTTGGGGCACGCACTCCCTGGAGACCACCCTCCAAGCCTACCTCACCCCATCCATGACCACTCTTTGGGTACAGTGATTCAAGCAGTTCCAAAGTTACCTGTTTTGTTCTCCCCCTCTCCCCATTTAAAAGCAAAGTCTACAGCAGGGCTTCTTAAACCTTTACCACTCATGACCCTGACAACCTTTTCATAGTTTCCAGCAGAACTGATAGGTGGTGCATGGCCTGAGGGCACAAAGTGCACATTGCTTTGTGTTCAGAACATGGAAAAGCACTGCCAGAAACACTTCATTCATTACGTGTTTGATTCTGAAGTTTTGGTTGCTGCATGTTCAGAAGCCTTTTACTGTTGCCAAATTTTTTGCCATCCAATATGGAGTCATGACCCACAGTTTAAGAAATGCTGGTCTACAGTACCGAGTCCCAGCTCCTAAGGCCTGTGGTCAAGAACCATGCATCCTCCAGAAGCACTGTCCACTCCAAGCCAAGCAGGCCTTTTCACTGGGCACTCCCCCATCCGCTATGGCAATACTTTGGAGTACTCTTGCCAACAATGCCCTCTCCTCCTCTTCTTCCTCCCCTACTGCCCTGAATACTGAGGCCATCAATGATCTTTGCGTCTCAAAAAAGTTCCACAGATTTTTAATATTCTGAAATCCAGAATCTAAAAATTAATACATGGTGTCCCAAAACTCTGAGAGCCATTTAAAGCTTATTAAAACCTTAAAGTACCTTTTATTTTCTTTCTTTATTTTGTTTTTTTTTTGGCTAGGCAATGAGGTTAAGTGACTTGCCCAAGATCACACAGCTAGTAAGCATCAAGTATCTGAGGTCACATTTGAACTCAGGTCCTCCTAACTCCAAGGCCGGAGCTCTATCCACGGCGCTACCTAGCGGCCCCTGACTGTACATTTTCTAACAATTAGGTCCATCCACAGTGGGAAGGTAGCACCATACAATGGAAATAATACTGAAACTGAAGTCAAAGGACCGAGGTTCAAGCCTCAGCTTTGCCACTTAATACCTGAATCACTCTGAACAGAACAAGCATTTATTAAGCACCTACTGTGTGCCAAGCCCTGTGATAAATGCTTTACAAATATTACTTCATTGAGTATCACAATAACCCTGGAAGGTTAGTGCTATTATTTTCCCTATTTTACAGCTGAGGAAAGCGAAGCAGGCAGACAAGTCACTTAACCTTTTTTTTTTGTTTGTTTGGTTTTTTGGTGAGGCAATCAGGGTTAAGTGACTTGCTCAGGGTCCCACAGCTAGTAAGTGTCAAGTATCTGAGGCCGGATTTGAACTCAGGTCCTCCTGACTCCAAGGCCAGAGCTCTATCCACTGCGCCACCTAGCTGCCCCCAAAGTACCTTTTATTAAAGCTTTAATGAACATAAAACCACACATGGACTTTTGGGACACCTTGTAGTCCAATGGGTGAGTCAGTCCTCTCTCCACCTTGACCATGAGCTCTGTGAGACAGATCAGGCCTTCCCCCTTCTTATATCCCCTGTGGTGCTTGGAACACGCTCCCTAGTCCCCTTTTACCCCTAAGCCCACCCTGATCTATAAGCCCATATTTAGCACAGCTCTGTTAAACAAAGAAGTTGAAAAGTAGGCACATGAGGAGGTGAGGGAAGAAATGGGGGGTAAACTGAGGGCCAGGGGGTATAGGGAAAGGACTCACCAGTCTTTAACAAAGGACTGAAAGTCCACCGAGAAGCCCATATTGCTGGGCAGAAGGGGTGGCTCTTCCTGCAGGACCTTGGTGAGGACCTCAAAGTCAGTCTTGCAATTCTTGTAGGGGAACTGCCCAGTCGCCAGCTCCACCTAGGTAAGAAGGGCTGAGAATGTGGTCACCTTCCCTGCGTCCTCTTTTCTGCCCTCTCTCCAACCCCCAGGTCCCCTCTTGCATCAAGCTGTCTATCCTGCCCACTTCCCTCTTTCACAGAATTTCTGATCTCAAAGGTCACCCAAGTCCAACTGGACCCCGAACAAGACTTCTTTCTACAATAAGCCTGACAAGTCGTCATCCAGCATTTGCTTGGAGACCGGCAGTAATGGAGCGTCCACTACCTCTCAAGGTGGCCAATTCCACTTTTGGAATTCTCTCCCAGTCTCAAATTCACATGAGGGCTCTCACGTTAAGTGCCATTAACTTCACTTTCCTTCATACTCATTTCATTCTGTTTTGCAACTGTCTCCAGCCCCCAGCGGCTGCTGCTTTGGCCTCCCTGGTGCCCAGGATGCTTTGGGGGGGGTCTGGCCCAAGTCTGCTTGGCTCACCAGTGAGATTCCCAGGCTCCACACATCTGCTCGGATGTCATAATCAGGCTTGGTAGGATCTGGAGGGTCTATCCGCTCAGGCTGGTAAGAAGGAAGAGACAGACAATTTCTTCCAACAGCTGTCACAGACATACCCATGAGGACAGGGTAAAGCAAACAGCCCAAGACACACCTGGGAGGGTTACCTGTAGGCCAGAGGACCAGCCCAGGTCAGTAACACCCAAACTTGTAGAGACAAAACACAATCTCTCTGGCACTGCACAATGTCCCTCCCATTCTCTCAACCCCCACCCTGAAAAGGCCAATTCAGTGTACATTAAGTTTTAAAAATTCAGGTCTATGAAGATGTACCCCAGAGACAGATGACAACCCTTTGGCTGCTCTGATGCCTGGGCCACGAAGGCCTGTTCCCCGCCCCATTAGGCAGCACGTGGCTTACCGCCATGTAAGCCGCACAGCCCGCGCTTCTTGTCTTGGCCTTGGAGTCTACCAGACGCCCACTGATGCCAAAGTCACAGAGCTTGATCTGTCCCCGCTCATCCAGCAGGATGTTGGAAGGCTTCACATCTCTGTGGATCACACCATGCTTCTCCTTCAGGTAGTAGAGCGCCTTAACAATCTGCAACCACACCCCCACACCCCCCAGGACTCTTTCACTGCTGGGTGGTAGGATGGCTCCAGCCACCCTGACCCCCCTTACTGCCACTCATCTGTTCTGTTTGAAGGCTCTCCCCTCCCAGAGCTTGGTGCCCTTCCTACAGCTCCCACCATGCCCATGAAGCCCAGGAAGTGGTGACTTCTTGGCCTGTTTCCCCAAGCCTAAGCAGTAGGTTCAAAGTGTAAGGCTCACATCCATGTCTGTAAACCAGGGGTGAGGGGGGAAAGCTCCAAAGGGACCAGTGTCAACCCACTGGGGGTGGGTGGGACAGGAAGGGGCCCCTCATGGTGCCTCCAATCCATTTCCACCTACTTACAGCCACAGTCATCTTGCCTAAGATCCGCTCTGGGATAGGCCCTTGAATCCTCTTCTTTAGCTTTTCGGCACAGGTGCCCATAAGCTCCATGGCAATGAAGACATCTGTCTGTGAAGGGAATGGGGGAGATGTAGCTGGGAGAGAGGAAAGGACCTCCTTGCCCGCAGGACCTCGTCTGTCCCTGGGATGACACATTTTGAGATACTGGGAAGCCATGGGAATACAGAATTTTGGGGGAAGAAGGCAACCTCTCAGAAATTTAGAGAAAAACAGACAATATTTTTAGCCCCTTTTATAAATCTAAAGTCACCCCTTTAATTTACAAACCAAAAATGCATTCTGTGTAACTTGATTTACTCATGAAGGTATGTAGGAGGTGGAAGAAGAGAGTGGCAAGGGAGTGGAGAACAGAAAATGTTGGTGGGGCTTCTTCTAGGCCAGACCATGAAGCAGCATTCTGCCTGAGCCCATCCCAATCACTTACATTGGTAATGAAGGTCCCAAAGCACTGAACAATGTAGGGACAGTCATGGCTCTTGAGCACCACATCCAGATCCATAAGAATTCGTTTGTTCTCTTCCTTGTTTCCAGAGCGGCGCATTTGCTGCAGAAGACCATTGGAGTTGCAAAGGGGGTCAGGGCTGGGAAGGAAGAGGGCAGGAAGCAGGGCCTCACCTTGAGTGGGACAGCGTGACCTGTCCTCCTGAAGGGCCCTTCTCAATCTAAGAAGGGCAGAGGAGAGGACTCTCACCCTAGACCCAGAGATAAGAGAGGGAGCACCTTGACCTTTCGATCTCAGAGAGGAAGGCAGGTGGGGCTGGTGTCTCACCTTGACAGCAAGGATGTGGCCTGTCTTCTTGAAGCGCATCTTCCAGACCTGGCCACATGTGCCACTGCCCATCTCACCCAGGTTCTCCAGGTCATTGATCTCTGCCTGGTACCTCTGGGGAAGATGAGGAGCAGGGTAATCACCATCACCAAACATTATTCCCACCTCTGTCGTCCAAACCACCATCCCCTCTCCACAAATCACCAGGACACGCTACCCCAAGGCTCAACTATCCATACACACACCCCTTCAGGTCTTCCTTCAGTGCTGCTGCCAGGGCAACAAGCAGGAAAAGGGAAGGGATGACAGACAATTATTCTCACCTGGCCTCCGATGGTCAGGTATCCTGTCTGCTTCATGATCTCCTGCAGCTTCTGGTCAATTTCTATGCTGGAGGGAAGAAAGATTAGGGGATGGGGACCCTGAGACATAGATACTTAAGCCATGGTAGCCCCAAAACAACTTTACCCAATGGAGCGGCAAATTTCATTGCCTCTTCCTACCCCAACAGGGACACCTGGATAGTCCATTTTCTTATTCTTTCTATTACAAAATTCCACACAGGTCCACTCCTATTGTCCCAAAGCTTCTTTTCTTCCCACCCTTCCAAATCCCAGGGCTTTCCCCAAAGCTATCCCATCTTCCCAAACACCAGCAACATCCTCCTCCATCCTCTAACATTGGCCCTTCTCTCCATATTCCCACTCAAAAACTTTTTAACCTTAAACCACCTTCTAGCTGTGTCTCCTCACCTCTCCATGCTGCGCGGCACGAACAGTGGTGCCGCGAGCCCCAACATGTGCCTGGGCCGAGCTGGTGGGGTGGGCTGCTGAGGAGAGCTCTCAGAGGAAGGCGATCGGCTACCCCCATCATTGGCCAGCGGGAGTTGCAGAGCTATGAGAAAGGAAGTGAGGAAAGGAACAGCCAGGGGTGTAAAGGGAAAAGAAAGGTCAGTTTTCCAAGGACAAGGACAGCCCACCTTCCAGGCCCCACAAGACCCTGGCCAAAGAACTTCTCCATTACAACTGACAACTACTAAGGAACCCACGACGATGCTTAGAAAGGGACCCAGCATTCCAGCCGTCCACAAGAGGGTCTTGCAATTAATCTTCCCACTTCCTCAAAGTGGTAGAACAGGAGACTAGCCACCCAGCTATGGGCCTAGATGCCAGGGACCTTTCTCCTTCAGGTCACCCTCTTTCTTACACGAAGGGAAACAACTCAGTCAAGCTCTATTCTAGACCTACTTGACTCACTTTCAAGAGAAGCGAGATGACCCAACCCAAATGGCCCCATCATTCAGTCCTGGACATCAGGAAAGGTAACCCAACTCTGTAGGGAAATCTCCTCTCAAGTTTGAGGGCAACAGAAGCTGAAGGCTATCAGAAGACTGTAATGACCAAGGATACCCCTTCTTCCTCTCCCTCCTAATTCCCAGCCAGGACAGAGCTTGGCTTTCAGTTACCTACTAGTGCTACCTCTTAAGAAGCTTAAAGCACTTAACAAGTATTGACTTGTCCATCTTGGGCCCCAGGAGAAGGGACCAGTTTATCCTCCCATTCTTCTGATTATAGAGGGAAAGCTAAGAAGGGACAGGATTCTTCAGGAGGCTAGAACCCACACCAAACTAGAGATTTTCTTTGCAGCTCCAAAAGAAACAGGAAGTCTTATGCTAGGTCGGGGGACAGGAGAAAGGAGCAAAGAGAACTTGATTTCCTAACACCCTCCAGGCTTCCCAGGCTGCCCCAGGAACATCATCTCCACTACTGACAGAGTTTCAGTTCCCCCACCCCTGCCTCCTAGGACCTAAAAGAAAGCAGATGGTGGGCCAGGGAGAACCACAAAACTCTCAGCAGTGGAGGGAACCTGAGGGATTATTGCTGACCCCCCTCATTTTACAGATGGAGAAAGTGAGGCCTAAAGAGGGCAAACCACTTATTCAAAATCATGCTGTTTTCTGAGCCTTCAGAAACCTCCCAGGACAGGGCTCTTTCCTCCTCTCAATGTACAGGATACAAGCCCCTAAATGTGGTTCACAATCCTTGGGGCCCGGTTTCTGAAGAGTGACTGCTCTTGGTTTGCTAGGACTCAGGGAGGCCCCAAGCCTGGGCAGGAAGACATGTGGAGCCCATCTGTAAAGCTGATCCAAGCTCATGCCCTCTCCTTGGAAGGGGAGAGCTGAGAGGCCCGAAGGACAAACCAAGCATGAGCTCCAGGCACCAGCTGTCCAATGTTCCCATCAGTCCCTCCATCTACTACGGTCGTGCATGAGGGTAAGCCTCCAGTGGGCCTTTTCCCGATGCCCACCCAGCCCCATAAGCACAGGGAAAGACGGAAGCCAAAGGGTTGAGAGGGGCAGGTTCCCAGGAAGAAGTCAAAGGGAACTCGGGAGTCCAGCATCCTCTTCTGTGGGTTCCCTCTGAGAAGCAAGGTGGGGTGGAATGGGGAAGATCAGACTTCCTGACAGCCTATCAAATTATATCACGTCAAGCAGCCTGCATGCAGGACAGCTGGCCCCTTCATGCAACTAACAGCCCCCAGCAGGGGCAGGACATGCTGCAGGCAGGCAGGCAGACAGCCACTCTGGGTGAGGGATGGATGGGGATGAAGGAAAAAAAGAGTAACACTCAAGAGTTAAAAGGAGAAAGAGGAGTAGGAAACCTGGAAAGAAAGACAGCTTTAAACAAAAACGGGAGAGTATGAACAGCCACGAGGAGAGTGTAGGGGGAAGGGAAAAAGAAAGACATTGAGGTTCAGGACAGGAAAACTACAGGAGCAACCCAGGAGTCCTACCACTCCACTAAGCAGGGTCACAAAGGGAGAGGATAGGAGCCAGAGGGCTCATGAAGGAAGGCTCTCTCAACATGTACCAGGAGTGGTAATGGGCTGCTGATGGCAGGGAAGGAGCTGCTAAATGGAGACAGAGGCTTAAGAGAAGTTGGAAATGATGAGAGCTATTGATTGGGGAAATCAGGATGGTCAAAGGCAGAAAAAAACCCTTCAAAAGCTGCTCTATCTTGGCTCAGCAGGGAAACTGCCCTTAGAAAATCTTCTAGGCTAGTCCTGTATCTTCAGCATTAACAGGCAGGAAGCCTGAAGGCAAATACCACTGGCTGTCCTGACTGAGAGAAGGGGTGTCCATTCCACTTAGGTCCTTCAAGTAGAGTAGCCAAGGCCCACAGCGCTTTCCCAAATGGGTGGGTCACAAAAATGAGAGGGCAATGACTCCCAGGTCAGTGCTCCTGGGAAAGCAGATGGGCTGTTCTCTACAATGAATGTCTTTCAGTTCCAGGTCAATCAGGTGAGGCAGCTGGACTCTGAGTCACTGCAGGAGCTCTGTCCCATCCTCCACTTCCCAAGTTTTCTCAGGTGTAAAGATTTTGCTTGCTTAACCACGTATGAACTAAATTAAGGGAAAAGGGTTTCTTTCCACCGAGGCATCCGGGGAGGTTTGGGCAGCCCAGAGACCAGGCAAAGCACACTGCCTTGATTAATAAATGTCTATTGGGCTGGTAGCAGTAAAGACAAGGCTCCTATTACAAAATAAGAAAAATCTCATGGAAGGGTACTCTGAGATTGTTTCAAATGCTCCTCCTCTTCCCACCTTAGGTATTTCTCTTTGTGGTCACCATTTCCTCATTTACTCTTTGTCCTGCTATTTTAGGACAAAGGCCAAGCGCTTCCCTCTTTGGCCTCTCTCCTCTTCTCCATGCCACCCATATCCCTCGACACCCCAGAGACTGGCCCCACTCCTGCCAGTACCATTCGTAGCAGGGCCAGCCTGGGGGCCATCAGCCTCTCACAATCTTGCTACTAGCACCCAAGGCTGGCTCCTAAGGCTACTTTAAGTACCTTCACTATAAAGTGAGAACCAGTGGCTCAGATCCTTGGGAAGCAAGAGGGGAAAGAAAAAGGCTCCCAGTATCATCCACAGGTAGGAGGGACCTGAGAGATCCTTGACTCCAACCCCCACACTTCACTGCTCTCCTAAAATCTGGGAAGGGAACAGGCCAAGGAGTAAGACCACAGAAAAAAAAGGGATGTGAGGTACACCTTCTGCCCTTTCAGGCTCACTCCATAGTCTAAGTCAGAGAGCCTAGACATGAGGAAACTGGCTAAGAGGGGATTATTGCCATAGTTGTCACTGAACTTTCCAAATGAAGTGAATCCAAGAGCAGGAGAGCATTAAGGCTGAAAAGTACTTAGATTGTCTAGTTCACCTCCCTCCTGTCCTTGGAAAGAATTCACACTAGTGCAGACTCTGGCTCCCTGACTCAACTCTGCCTGCCCAATTTGTCAAAGGACAGCCAGAGGAAAGCTCAAAGGGCTGGAGAACTTGAAACAAAATTCCCACCAGCTTCTTCCAGATGGTTTTATTCATCCGTCCTGATACGAAAAAAAAGGCTTACTGTTAAGTTACTGTTACTTTTAGTCCAAGAGAGTGCCATCCTACCATCTGGGGCCTTCCTCGCCTCCTCACTCTTACCTTCCCCACATCCAAACTGCTAAGTCCTGTCAATTCTACCTCCACCACACCTCCGACACATCACCTTCTCTCCTCTGACACTGCCATCGTCCTGTTGCAGGCCTTCGTCACTTCATGCCTGGACCACTCCAACAGTCTGCTGATTGATTTTCTGCCTCAAGTCTCTCCACACTCCAAACCATCTTCAACTCAGCTGTCAAATTGATCTTCTTAAAGTGCAGGCTTGGCTATGTCACTCTCCTATTTGCTAAACTCCAGTGGTTCTCTATTGCCCTCAGGATAAAATATAAGCTGGCTGTTAAAGCCCTTCCTAACCAGGCCCCTTCCTACCCCTCCTGTATCCTACAATCCAGTAACTGGCCTCCTTTCTGTTCCGTGTACAAGACCCTTCATCTCCCAGGTATGCCTTTTATAATAATGATGATAATAACTAGTATTTATATAGCACTTTAAGGTTTGCAAAGGGAGAAAAAACAACCCCTCAAAAGCTGCTCTATCTTGGCTCAGCAGGGAAACTGCCCTTAGAAAATCTTCCAGGCTAATCCTATATCTTCAGCATTAACAGGCAGGAAGCCTGAAGGCAAATACCACTGGCTGTCCTTACTGAGAAGGGGCATCCATTCCACTTAGGTCCTTCAAATAGAGTAGCCAAGGCCCATAGCCCTTTCAAATAGGTGGGTCATAAAAATGAGAGGCCAACGATTCCCACGTCAGTCTTCCAGGCCCCTCTGCTCCAAGATGTTTGTCTCCAGGGAGAACAGTGTCCCTGGGAAAGCAAATGGGTTGTTCTCTAGGATGAATGTCTTTCAGTTCCAGTTCAATTAGGTGAGACAACCAAACTCTCATCCTCCACATTTTGTTCTCACAATAACCCCAGAAGGCAAGTGCTGTTATTATTATTCCCATTGTACACGTGAGGAAAGTGAAGCAGAGAGAGGTTAAATGACTTGCCCAGAGTCACACGGCTAGTAAGTGTCTAAGGCTGGATTTGAACTCAGGTCTACCTGACTCCAGGTCCAGTGCTCTGTCTTGGATAGTGTCACCTGGCTGTCCTTTCAGTGGCTGTCCCCTATGCCAGGAACACTTTTCTTCCTCACTTCTGGCTCCTCGCTTTCTTCAAGGCTTAGCTTGAATCCCATATTCTCCAAGAAGCCTTTCCCTGTCCTTAAAGTTAGTGACTTCCTCTAAGATTATCTCCAACTCATCCTGTATATATTATTCATACACAACTACGTACAAATCTTGTTTGCATGTTGTTTCCCCCATCAGACTAGGCTGCTTGAGGGCAGAAATTGTTTTGCCTTTTTTTGCATTCCCAGTGCTTGACACATGGATGGTGGTAATAAAGGTTTGTTGACGTGACATAGAAGATGGGGCTTGAGGAATAGGGAGGCAGCCATCACTTCCTATACTATTTAGCTGACTTTACTTCTAGGTTCAAGTTTTAGGAGGACGATGCTATGTGGCTATTTTGCTCCATCTCAATCACCTGCACAGAAACTGGACCCCAGGGGGTAGAATACAGGATGGGGTAGCTGGTCAACTGGGTCAGTTGGAAAACAGACAAAATATCACAACAGGTATCATGTCTGAGTCAATTTCAGGATGAAATAGGACTACTGGAATCACTGGGCCCTAGGGAGCACAGAATAGCAGGGCTGCTCCGACAATTCTGATGGTGACTCAGGGGGCAAGAAGCAAGGAAAACTGAGGAGGAAGGTCCTACTCCTGGCAAGTGCTGACTCAGGGGAAAAACCTGGGTGGCTGAGGGCTAGATAAGGGACAGGAATGGAATAATAAGATCCTAATTCTCTGGGTCACCTGGGTTCAACTTCAATCACTGTTTGGGCTAAGGTCCCAAGAGCATTAAGTAGTAGAAACAGGGAGATGAGGTGGGGTACAAAACTAATTAGGAATGGATGTTAAGAGAGAAATAATCAGCACACACACACACACACACACACACCAGTCACAAAAAGCCAATCAGTAAGAGGCACATACAACATGCCACACCACAGCCAAAGAACTGACATATATACTTCCTTGGATACAAAGAGATCCATCCACACATATATACCTGCACTCAGACAATCCCAGAGAGGAAGCCAAAAAAAGTCAAAGGCTGAGAGAGACTACACGTCAATCTACAAAGAAAGGCATGGGGAGCAGAACAAAGAGAGAGGGGGAGGGGGGGAGTGAGTGAGTGAGAGAGAGAGAGAGAGAGAGAGAGAGAGAGAGAGAGAGAGAGCGCACACACCAGGAACAGGTAGACAAATACAATGGCTCAGGTAGAGAAAGAGAAAGACAGACAGGAAAAACTGAACACATAGCAGTTCTATGCGGTCTGAAGGCAGCAAATTAAGTCAATGATGCAGAAGTCCAAGCGGTGATGATAAAAAGGCTGGTACCTGCTCGTTGGGACGGGGCAGGAGCAGGGCTTAGAGTGATCACAATAACTGGATGGGGAAAAGGAAGAAAAAAAAAACAACAACACCACAATAAATAACAGAAACTACCAATTGATCCAAAGGAAAGAAATCAAATCATAACAAAGAAGAAAGGGGAAGGGGAGGCATCAAATCAATTTGAGGGGAAGAGATGAGGAAAAAACCAACAGAGATGGGAAAATGGGATGGAACCAACAATGAATGCAGACACCTGAAGGGGAACCCCTTCCCCCAACAGTCCTCTCTTTCTGATTAAAGGGAACTGGTCCCACCCCTCATTAAACCCAATCCAGTGTCAATTTTACTTCCTGGGAGTTCATGGCTGATCCAGGTACAGGTAAATACCCAAATAGTGGCCCAGGGCAAAATGGCATTACTCAGCCATCTGGAAAACAGTCCCAATGGTCTCCTGCCTCCTACCCCTAAAAGAGCAGTGGCCCTACCAGGTGAGGGACTCAGGCACTCCCAATTAGAAAGGAGAGGAGGAGAGGTAAGGAGGGGAAGACCAGAATCCCAGCATCTATTGGGGGGTGGGAGTGGGGTGCTGAGGGAGTTCAGGCAGCAATTAGGTGAGAAGGCCCAGGTTCCCATACCCAAGCTTTCTCCACGCTGCTGGAAAAGGAACCCAGGACTTCCAATAATGAGCTCTCCCCTGACTCTACAAAATGCTGGAGGGTCTCCTCTCCTAAGGCTATCACTGAAAAGGGTGTTGAAATTCCTGCAAAAAAGCAATCCTTTGCTCCTTCCCTCCCCGAAAAAGCTAAGAGCCAACTCGGTCTGGGGTCTGGGAGCTACTAACACTTGAAAAGTGGAAAGGAGCACATGCTACTTATTGATAAACGCTTGGAAGAGGAATGGGAAGAGATGGGGAACCAACCCCCCCCCATTTCTCGCTCTACTCCAGGCTGGGAAGCAGCCTGGACTAATTCTCCTCTCCACTATCTCCCCAAGTTTGGGGAGAGAAGGAAGGGCGCCTTTGCCCAGAAATTTAGGAAAGGGGGGAGGGGGAAAGACGGAGAGGGGTTGGTAGAATTCCGCCGTCCTTACTACCCCCAAAGGGATTTAGGGAAGAGGAAGGAAGAAGAGGGAGAAAAAGGAGGGGGGCGGGGGAGTCGGGGGAGGGGCTCGGTGAGTTTCTCGACCCTCTCCAGGTCAGGAAGGAGGGGACCGGAAGTCTTCCCCCTCTCTCAGGCTTGGAGTAAGGCCCTGGGTCAGGGTGACCCTCTCTCCCCATGGTCAGGAGAGGGAGGGGGAGTCTCGGGAGAGAGAGGAACCTGGAGGGGAAAGCCGAGGGGTTCCGGAAATCAGGGGCGGAGCTTGCGGACAGGGGGCGGGGCATCTTGCCCTGACGCCCCGCCCACCTCCCCTCCCCCCATTCCCCTCCCCCCCCTTGCAGACTTCCTTACTCGGCCTGGGCCGCTGCGGGCTGATCTCCAGGTTGAGGTCGATCCTCCGCCGGGCCTCGCGGTTCTCCTGCTTCAGCTTCGCCTCCAGGCGGGATAGCTTCTGCTCCAGGGAGGACGCCGCCATCTTCCCCGCCGCCGCCGCCGCCGCGCACCTCCCGCCCGTCCGACCCTCCGACAAACACTGCACTGCGCTTGCGCTGGGGTGACCCCACCAGGCCTCCGTCCCGCTCTGAAGTGCGCATGTCTGTATCTGTCACCGCCCGCCCTTCCCTTTCGGAGCTCGCTGCACCTGCGCCTTCTCCTTTCCTCCCGCCCCGAAGGCCTACGGTGCGCAAGCGTGGCAGGAAGGCTCGCGCCACCAAGGGATCGCCTCCGGCCACGGAGAGCAGTTCGTACTACGCCTGCGCGGGGACGCCCGTAGCCCACTGAGGAGGAGGAACCTTATAGCTCCGGGGATCGCTTTCTGGCCAAGGGGAGGAAGGATCTCTGGGCGCAAGCGCGCGCTGGCTCGCCGTGGAGGGGGAGGGGGAGGGGAGGGGGAGGGGAGGGGGAGGGGAGGGGGAGGGGAGGGGACTCCTCGGCGCGTGCGCGCTGGGGGCAGTGCCGGCTTTTTCCGGTCGCGGGACGTTAACGGTCGTTTCTAGCTGTTCCTCGGAGTTGCTTGGGGTCCTCTCCGGACTTGAGGCACAGAAAAGTGGGGCCTTTGACCCAATAACCCTGTAGGACCCTCGACGGGGCTGAGAGACGAAGACCGGGCAGGGGGATTCCCGAAGGTCCGGCGAACCCGCCTACACCCCCCACCCCGCCCGGTGTTCCTGCCCTGGTTGGCCCTCCCCCTGCTCCCCCCCCACCCCGAGGCGACGTCTTTAATGTCACTAATTAATACATCCAGCGCTTGATTACTCCTCACTAATTGAGACCCAAGATTAATGCCCAACCCTCAATTGGACCATTAAGGGGCTGGGATTATTCATTGAGCTGGAAGAGAGCATCATTTACGGAGGAAACCCGAGGCACCGAGAGGGAAAAGAGATTTGCCCGAGCCCCGGCCGCCGCTTGGTGCCAGATCTGGGCCTCCCAGACTTCCTCCCGATGCTAGGACGAGTGCTTTTTCTGCGACAGACCGACGTCCCTTCCTGGGCCCAGGCAGCCACCAGGCAAACGTAGGCCGGTGGCCACTGAAAGCAGACCTGCAGACTGCCGGGCTCCAGGGGCCATCTCCTAGCGAGAAAGCCCAACCCTTTCGTCTTTGATGGCCAGTGAAGGTTAGGCCTGGAAAGGGACCTTAGCCTGATCCTATTTTAATGAAAAAAGAAAAGGCTCCACGGGTAAAGGGCCGCTTGTCCAAAGTCACACCAGTGAATTGGGACTAGAAGACAGTTCTCCAGATTCCTTAGCCTCATACCACTCTGTTGCTCAACTGAACAAGAGCAGTTTTCCTTTTTTAGCCCCTCCCAGGGGCCTCCCCCTCCCAGGCTCAGAAAGAGTCAATACAGTCCCGCATCTGGGATCTTTTCAAGAGCCACTGCAAATAGTGTCGGATCTTAAAACTATTATAAGACAGTAATTATCAAAACTATCTAGTACTGGTTAAGAAATAGAAAAATGGATCAGTGGAACAGAGTAGACATACAGTACACAGTAATAAATGATTATAGTAATCTCGTGTTTGACAGAGATTTAAGCTTTTGGGATAAAAATTCACTATTTGGTAAGAATTGTTGCCAAAAAAAGGAAAACAGTCTAGCAGAAAGGGTATGAACTTACACCATTTACCAAGATAAAAGTCAAAATAGATACATGACCTAGATATAAAGGGAGATACAAGTAAATTAGAAAAACATGGAGCATATTATCTATCAGACCTATGAATAGTGGAAGAATTTATGGATAAATGAGATAGCATTGTGACATGTAAAATGGATAATTATGATTACATTAAGTTAAAAAGGGTTTGTAGAAATAAAAAAGATTGAGGAAAAAAAATTGATAGTTTCTCAGATAAAGGTCTCATATCTCAAATATATCACTTTGTCAAATTTATAAGAATATGAGTCATTCTCCAGTTGATAAATGGTCAAAGAATATGAACAGGCTGTTTTGGTTTTTTTGTTGTTTGTTTTTTGGGGTGGCAATTGGGATTAAGCAACTTGCCCGGGGTCACACAGCTAGAAAGTGTCTGAAGTCAGATTTGAAATTGGATCCTCCTGACTTCAGGGCCGGTGCTGTATCCATCGCACGACTTAACTGCCCCAACGGGCTGTTTTTCCATGAAGAAACCAAAGCTATATATAGACATATAAAAAAACACTCTGAATCGTTGATTCAAGAAAAGCAACTTTGAGATATCATCTCACACCTATCAGACTGGCTTAAAATAATAGAAAGGGTAAAGACAAATGTTGAGGAGGATGTGGAAAATTGGGTCACTAATACAGTGTTGGTGGAACAGGCTGGTTAGAAAACTCTATTTGATCCAGCAATACCACTCTTGGGTCTGTTTCTCAAAGTGATCTGGAAAAAAGAAAATGAGCCTGTATGTTTTAAGATACTCATAGCAGCTCTCTTTGTGGTGGCAAAAATTGAAGGGATGCCCATCAATTGGGGAATGGCTAAACAAATTGTGGTATATGATCGTGATGGAATACTACTGTGCTGTAAAAAATGATGAGCAGGTTGATTTTAGAAAAACAGACTTGCATGAAATAATGAAGAATGAAATGAGCAGAACCATTGTGTACAATAACAGCAATCTTGTTCAAAGAATAACTGTGAAAGATTAAGCTATTCTGAGTAGTATAAATACTCAAATCAACTACAAAGGAACTTCTGACTGGGTTCTCAACTGGGCCCTCACCTATGCTAGGCAGTCATTCTACACCTTCCTAATCAACTGTCTATCCCATACTATCCCACTTAACCACATCAAATTCTTCCAAACCTTTTATCCCTCAAACTTTCATGGCTTCCCTTCCCCCCACCTTCTTAGCTAAAAACTTTGCCTCATTTTATTGAAAAAAAAAAAAAAACCCAGTCCATTTGCCAAGAACTTCTTATATCACCCAGGTGCCTTCTGCTATCTGCTCCTTCACCTATCTCACACAAAGATGATGTCCTTCTTGCCAAGGCAGACCTCTCTACCTACACAAGTAAGTGTGCATCCCATTTCCATTCCATTTCCTCTAGCTGACTGCCTCTATCCTCATTCCCTTATCTTGTATCTCTCCCTCAGTCAATAAACATTAAGTGTCTACTATGTGCCAAGGCCCTATGCCAATCAATGGGGATACAAAAAGAGGCAAAAGATAGTCCTCACCCTCAAGGAGTTTGCAATCCAACAGGGGAGACAAAATTCAAACAAATATATCCCTGTGGCTCCTTCTCTACTGTTTACAAACATGTCTACATCTCTCCAATACTGAAAAACCTTCACTAATGTCCCACCTACCTTCATTTCCTCCTTTTCCCCCCCTTCCCCCTCCTCCTTCCTGATGTCATAGTCCTCTTCGAGAACAAAGGACAAACAACCTATGAGTAGTTTGAGCTGCCCCACTGGGGACCCAACTGGCCAGTTCCAGTTAGACAATGCAGCTCCTCTCCTCTCCTCTCCTGTTCACTCTTCACCTCCTCCTTCTGTCCACATAGGGTATCATACCCTTACCTGTGGGTATTCTGCCCAAAGGAATGTAAATTTTGATCCTTGAAACTAAGCAAGATATCTTGGGGTTTTAAGGGCTAGATTTCTTAAGGGCCATGCCTTAAACCCAAATCACTCTGGCTCTCAATGATTGGCCAACAGTAGGTCCCAGCCCAAGCCCTAATTGGTCATTGTTTGGGCCCTGAGGTGGCTCAAAGTGAATGTAAATAGCAATTGTTTCTGTTTTGGCCAGAAACCCTGAAAGTCTTCCGCTCCCAGATTGATATATTTTTTTTGACTAGGTAAAAAAGACCATTCTTTGCGTCATTTCTTACGTAGCCTTAATCACTGAATGGATGTTGCCTCAGTCAAATTGAGACCTGGGAAAGACTTTAGCTTAAAAATAAGATAAAGGGAGGCAGCTAGGTGGCACAATGGATAAAGCACCCCCCCTGAGGTCAGGAGGACCTGAATTCAAATCCAGCCTCAGACCAAACACTTGACACTTAATAACTGTGTGACCCTGGGCAAGTCACTTAACCCCAGTTGCCTAAAAAAAATATAAAATAAGGTCAAGGTCTGCCATTACATCTGGGGCCATATCCAGTCGTCCTGATATATATCTTGCCACTGGACCTAGGTGGCTGTGGAGGAGAAAGTGAGGCTAGTGACTTTGTACAGCCCTCCTTCACTTAAATCCAATTCACTTGTAAGTCATGGCATCAACTTTCTGATGTCATGGTCCTCTTTGAGAACACAGGACAAACAACAATTTGTCCTGGTTGCAATGGGTTGATCTCCAGGTTGGTGTCCATCCTCTGCTGGCCCTTGTGATTCTCCTACCTCAGTTTGCCTCCAAGCAGAATGGCTTCTGCTCTAGGGAGGACACTGCCATTTTCCCCACCACTGTGTAATATTGTCCCATATCTCTTCTTTGTAGCCAGATTTCTTGAGAAAGCCAACTACAATAGGTACCTCCACCATCCCTCTTCTCACTCTCTTAACTTCACTATCTAGATTCTGAATTCATCATTCAACAGAAACTGCCCCCTCCAAAGTTATCAATGATCTCTTAGTTGCCAAATCCAATGACCTTTTTGTTCTCTGCAGCCTTTGTCACTGTTGATCACCCTCTTCTCCTTGATACTCTCTTCTCTTTAGGTTTTCAGGACTCTTCTTTCTCCTGGTTTTCCTCCCTGACCACTTCTCAGTCTCTTTTGCTGGATCTTTATCTAGGTCACACCCACTAACCATAGATGTCCCACAGGAGTATATTGGATCCTCTTCTCTTTTCCCTCTGTTCTACTTCACTTCATCAGCTTTCAGGGATTCAATAACATCTTTATGCAGATGGTTCTCAAATCTGCCTATCTAGCTCTAACCTTTCTGCTGACCTCTATTCTCACATCTCCAACTGCTTATCAACCATTTCCAACTGGAGTCTTTCAGATATCTCAGACTCAACATGTTCAAAACAGAACTCATTACCTTTCCTCCCAAATCC